AATGGGCTTGGATGCCTAGGCCCTGAGCCATGGCTCATGCTTTTGATCTCCGAAATGAACGAACGCCCTAAAAGCTTTTAGTGCTTCGCAGATTAAGTGGCCAAGAAACAAAAACTTTGTTGCTCTTTGCTTTGAGTAGCATTTCGTAAAATGTCAAAATAAAAACTATTTGATTTTTCGTTGCATAATAAATCAAGTGACTAAATCAAGGGTCCTTAAAGCTCCATCGCTGCTATAGACACATATATATATATATATATATATATATATATATATATATATATATATATATATATATATATATATATATATATATATATTTAGTCATAAGAGAAAACAACTGATATTAGTTTTTAATCTGAGTGCAACTTAAGCGAAAGTAGTTAACTTAAGTAATTGCCTGGCCTAATGTATATGAGCACTAAAGTCAAAGAGATACGGATACGAGGTCTGTTTAATGAGTATTGCGAATCTTATGCTTTGCCTTCTAAGATTATATCTTTATTCATGACACTTGTGACAATGCCTTTGCCAATCCTTGAAGCACTTCATATTTTCATATTTTGTCAACTTGTTAAGCTGCTACTGCAATATCCTTCCGTTTCGGGCATGAGTAAGTGGAATTTGAATTGTCAAAAGTCAAAGAGGAGCCAAGGCATGCCCAGGTAAAGGGGCTATACAAAATGGACTAATCGGCTTATTTTATGGACATAAATTTCAATATCACATCAGAAAAGTATCGAAAAATCGTAAAGGGAATAAATATGAGTCAGCCAGAGAAATTCAAAATTCTTGATACTTTTTGGTGTTTCACATTCGATGCTCTCTCTCTCTCTCTAAATTTATATCCCTACCTATATCCCTCTATATGTCACTCTTTGTATCTCTCTCTCCCCTCCATCTCCCTCCCTCCTTTATATATATTCTAGCTCTTTCATTTAATTATCTTCAGTTTGCTTTTAATTTGATTTGATTTGGTTTGGTTTAAAGTTATTATTAGAAGTTAAGCATGGCCGACTTACTCAAGGCACGGCTAGGCAGAGCCAGGCAGGCCAAGTAATTGAAGCTCAACTGCTCAATTTTCATAAAAATGGATTCGTGTTGTTTCAAATTTGACGCAATTTGTGGAAATTATGTTTGCGTTGTGCTGCGACGAGTCGGGGGCTTCCGGGTTTGGGGTTTGCGGGGGCTTGTGCTGAAATTTCAGGCATTTCGCTGGCAAAGCGCATTCCCGCAACCGCCTTGTTGTCAGCTTTCACATTTTTGCAGCCGTAATTAATTAAAGTGGCTAGGATGAAAATTACTGGAAAAATGGAAAAGTGAGTTAAGTGGAAAAAGGACGACTCCATGCTCTTAACTCAAGTGAATCAAAGTTCAACCGGCTTGTCTGGTAATTTGATCAGCGCCTCTGCTGTTGTTGCTGCTGCCTTTGTTTAAAGGACACAGCACAATTTGTTGCTGTTTTTTGCTGTTTGCCCACATTGTCGGACATTCGCTGGGCTAATAAGTTAGCTAGCCGAGCGAACGGTCGACTGGGCAGGTTAGTTCAGCTCAGCTCAGCTCAGGTAAGGCTTGGGGCTTCGGCCAATTGGCTTTGGCCTTTTGCATATGGAAATGGAATCCCATGAAATGTAAACGTGGCTCAAGTTGCCTTGCTACCATGTGTGTCTGTGTGTGTGTGGATGTGTGTTGGTGTGTGTGTGGGTGTGCAACGAAATAAAATTAGTTCAATGAGCATTTGTGCAATCAACTGATTTTAAACAACAAAAATTGGGGGCTGTAATCGAAGTTGAGCAGTTGAGCAACCCTTCTTGGCCGAAAGGGTTGTTCCCGGATTGTGGCAAATAAATTTCACACATATTTGCACACTCATATGTGCGTGTGTGTGTGTGCAGTCAATAACTTTTGCAACAAGGTCGTCAGCGTCTTGGTTGATTGTACTGGAAGGCATACAGCGAGTGCCCCCAGACCCGATTCTATAGCCACGACAGGCATATGAAAACGCCATGTTATGTATGCTTAATTTTTGTCGAGCGCCCATTTGGGTTGGGCGGTGCAAGGTGGGTGGAGCAGTCGAAGCTATCTGCATGTAAACAGGCCCAGGACAATGGCAATGCCTGCCTTGCACGTGACTCATGAGGTAGCCCCGTGCCAACGGTCGTTTGCAACGGAGAAAAAAGGGTTGCCTGTGGGTCTTCCCTCCTTCACACACACACACACATACACACACATGCTGTTGGTTATTTGTGGGACTTCAGAAATTTGGCTGCCCGGACGATTATTGCATCACAGATCATTGGACAACAATTGTAAATTGATTAGAGCGACAAACCTGGCCATTTGATGCGGTATCAGGTTACGGGTCCGGCCATGAGTCATGCTGTAGGTGAACTAGTTCTTTTATGGCTTGGTCAAGAGTAGCCAATCAGGTCATATTTCATTCAGATGAGCCTTGGAACTAGTTCATTTGCTATGCCTAAGTGCCTGAGTGCCTTGCTCTTGCTTTGCTTTAAAACTTGGCTTTAACATTTGCCTAGCGTCTCTCTACACATATTTTATGCCAATATACATATATATATATATATATATATATATATACGTAGCTTCATAATCATCTTGACAATATCATTATTGTGTTTGATTATCATTGCGGGCCACAGTCATTGCGCTGCCTTTGCTTTCTTTAGACATTTTTGTCAATTTGCTGTGAGCTCGCGTCATTTGCAAGCAGCGCGAAATGCGGGAAAAGGCAGAAAAAGGTAAAGGCAAGGAGTCTACCTGAGCAGCTGGGGAAGCAGAAAGAATGTTAGTCGCATTTGCTACAACACGATTTGCTTTAACTGCCAAGCTTTCGCTACGCTCGCACACGTCGGCTGCTTGAGCACAACAAGCAAAGGTAACCCATACCAAAGAGCACACCAAGACACACACCCACACACACAGAGGCACACACATCTTATTTATTTCTATTTTTATGTGTCACACACGGCAAAGGAGCCACGCATTTTACTTTGCTGCGCATTTTCACTCCTTTCTTTTCATTTCTTCATTTTTTTTCTTTTTGCTGGCTCCTGGCTGCGGCTCTGGCTGCCATCTAGTTCACCTTTAACTTTTTTTTTTTGCCCCGCTCAGCTCGTCCTTTCGGCTCCTTTGGCATTTCGTACACGGCACGACATTCTCCCAATTGTGTTATAAATTCAAAAATGAATAACGCACGTTTGCCTGTGGTTTAAAATTCTATTTCATTTTATTGCTATTGCCACTGCCATTGCCTTTCGCCTGTCGCCCACCTCAGTCCGCCCACCGCATGTCACCTCTGTGCGAACTGTGGTGCGAACCACGCAGTGCATGCTGCTGGCATTTGGTTTCGTTGCTTTCATAAAACGCTTTCACTTTTTCGCCAGTCTCACTGTGTATTATTCTATGTGCTTTCTACATTCTCTGTCTTTGGCTTAAATATGTGCCATTTGTGTTCTGTTCTGCTCTGCTCAGTTGCTTGCCTTCGCTTAATTAAAACATTTTTGAGAGAGAACGAAATAAAATGTCCCAAACTCATGAGACCTGAACTCGGACTTTGTGTGGAGCTAACTTTGCCCTTGCCTCGTTACCCACTCTTTGCCACTCTCAGCTCTACCCTTGCCTGCCACTCTCTTCCCCGCTCTCGCACACCTTTAAAAAGGTACCGTTGCCTTTTGTGTGCCAACTTTTCATTTTCTGTCTGTTTTCCTAAAGCTGCTTAAAGAGTTTCCACCTAGATCGAAGCGCGCATTCTGCGGTCTGCTCTGACATTTTTTATGACCTCCACTCAGCCCTCTCACAGTGCGGATTTATTTTTGGCCTAAGCATTTATTTATTAGCTCAGCTCTGAGCTGATGTTGAGCAGTTGGCGAACTAGTTCCAAATAATGGCAATTGCTTAGGCTTTCATAACCATTTGCTGGCTGTGTTCATAAAAATAGTAGTGCTCGACTACACAAAACATAAACTAAATAAAAAGGTATTTTTTCCAATTTGTTGAACAAAAAAAAATAATAATAGTAAATTAAAAAACAATGTATCCAAAAGCAGTGTAAATAATAAATAATTTATTGGAATCCCAAACTTTTGTTTTATTTTAGTGTTCAATAGAAAAGTCAAAAGTTTAATTTCTAGACTCAAAATTCAATGCAAAATTAAAATTGAAAAATGATTAATTATTAAAATTATAAAATTATTATTAAAATTATAATTATTATGATCTAAATTAATAAAATACATTTGTTTCATTGTACGATAAATTTAAATAAATAATAAATAAATAATTTGTATTGCCCAACATGGAGTGCTCAGTGGCACTACTATTACAATGAACACATATGGAGGTCTACATCAGACTAGGCATTGTCAGTTGAATAAGCTCCATGGACTCTCTCTCTCTCTCTTTAATAAATCATTCGTTTTTTGTTTTTGGTCGTTGTCTTTTTTTAGTTCGTTTGCTGTTCGTCTGCTCAAGGAGTTAATTCTATTGTAATGAGAATTCAAGTCAGCTGCAATTGGCACATGCTGCAATGTTAATGTCAAATGCAGCAATAGCCATGGATCTAGCTGATAGAACAAATGTGAAACAAACGAAATGGCAATTTGATTCATTCAGATATTGACAACTAATTGAGATGAATCTGTTCGACAAACATTCAATTAGCTGTGGACTTTGCGAGGCCAATAAATGTGACTTTAAAATGTAAACGTGTGCGTGTGTATTTGTCAGGCACTGTAGTCAGTATGTCATATTTATATAACTCAATTTCTTACGCTTGATAAAACATTTGCATTCCACATGCAAATTTCACTTTGATGAGTTTTTCATTTTCATGCTGCTGCTGCTGTTGCTGCTGCTGCTGCTGCTTATTATTATTCCCTTTCATAGTGTATGCCAAAAGTATACGCATGCTAATTAAATTGTTTTTATTTTTTCCAATGTACTCACTCTCTTTCTGTTTCTTTCTCTCCTTATGATTACAGCATTTCCATATTTATAAGCAGACGAGGCCAAACACTTTGAACCGAACATTTTGGAAATTGAGCTTTTCGACCTGCTGGTAAGTTAAAGAAAATAATTTAAATAGAGCGACCCACATATATATATATATATATATATATATAGGCGATTATCATGTCTCTGAGTGTGTGTGCACTTTGTTGATTTTACCGTTTTATCAAAGAACATTACAACAACAACAAAATAAAACTTATTGGAATTTGAAAATGTCGACATTGACATGCGTTGAAAGCGTTGTCAGCTTCGATATGCCCGCTGCTCCCCAATCTCATCTACTCATTCCCCTAGACCTCTCCCGCTCTCTTGGCTTAGCTGCCCAGTGTGTGTCTGTGTGTGTGTTTTTTTATATCAGTTTTATTGTGTTTTATGTCGCAGCAGAGTCAACCAAAAAGCGGCTTACAAAAATTCAAGAGCAACAATCCAAAAGATGCGTATCATGTGGCTTTTATGCGGCTGCCGCTAGCATTAGGCATGCCCATTTTCCCACTCTCCCAGTCTCCCACTCTCGCTCTCTCTCTCTCTCTGTGTCTCTTGCTGTTTAGCTAAAGATTTTCATTTTATATTTCATAAATTGTCGCTGGACAAAAGTGGAGAAGCTGCAAGCATTTTTCACGTAACGTTTGTCCATGCTCTACCTCTCTCGCTCTCGCACACGCTCTTTGCGATATGCATCTCAGCTGTGTGTGTGTGTGTGTGTGCGTGTGGTATTTTATTGTCATTGTAGCTTTTTGGAGCTCGTTGACTGCCTTTTAGTTGTTGTTGTTGTTGTTGTTGGACATCTCTCTTTTGTTAGGCTCAAGTAAATCAGTCTGTCGGCTGAAGATACACAGCGACACAGATACATTCATACAGATATATAGATACACAGATACACAGATACAAATGTATTCGTAATTGCGTGCAGACCGCGCAGCTGCCTCGCCGACGCCGTTTTGTTTATGATTTGTCAAGATTTTAATCCCCAAAAATGTGTTTTAAATTGCAGCGCCTACGATAAGAATTGGGACAGGCAGTTCACAAGAGAGAGTGTGAGATAGAGAGAGAGAGAGAGTGAGGGGGAGCGAGAGGGAGAGCAAGAAGATGCAGTCAACAGCAAATGCATTAAACGAAAACCTGATTTGTTGGCCAACGAAAAGAGTTGCGTTTCGTGTGCGTGTGCATCGCTTTGGGCAGGGGGTAGGCGGGGGTAAAGCTGAGCGTTGGGGAGGGGGCTGAAGCAACGAGACAGACATATGGCATCCATAATTTGAAAGAAAGACTGAAAGAACTGACTGCGTGGGGAGTGCTAATAAATTCACCTTTTACCACAAAATATTGCCAACATTTGCAAAAGACAAACAGCTAAGCCCAGTCCACACACACACGCACACGGTACATATGTGTGTGGCTGTAATGTGTGGGCGGCTTGGCAACATAAATCTATCTCCAGTAACTGCAGCTACTATGCCCTCAGCTCGCAGCGCCCTGCTGCTTGGCTGACTTCTGATTGAGGCAAAGCTCCAAGAACGTTGTTCGTTCATCTCCATCGCCATCGCCAGCTGTCCGTCCGCCCATCCGTCCGTCCGTCCGTCTGTCTGGGTGTTGATTTTTGTCAACCTAATACAAAGTGCAAACAAAATTTGTGTTGGCATTTGGTTAGATTTGCCATTGCCTTGGTTTTTTTCCTTTTTTTGCTCGCTTTTTCTTGTTCACATTTTTTCTGTCGTCCCAGAGTCTGTGACAGGAGTAGGTGTGTATGTGTGTGTGTGTGTGTGTATTTGTTAGCAGCTAAACTGGAAGATTTTTATACGCAGAAGCCATAGTGTGGCAAAATGATATCATGTGCTCGCTGAGCTCTGCGTAAATGAAAAATACGATGAGAGCTTAAATTAGAAAAATAAGACGAATCGAATCTAAGATTAAGATAATATAAAGAGATAATTGAGGAAATCTGCCGAGCATAGAGATGCAGTGAAAACAAATTATTTATATTCAATTCTGATATTTATGAATATAATTGGGCGAAAGTATAATTGGGAAAAATTATATTGCCAAATTGACAGGAGTGAAAGAAAAAAAGGGAGAGTGCTCCAGTGGGGAGTGCCCGACGAGGAAATACCCGGACAAATCAAATCTCTGCACGTTGCGGCCTACCTCATTATTCTGATCAAGAATATATACTTTATATACTTTATGGCGTCTGCCACGCCTCCTTTTGGGTGTCACATAAGATTTCACAAAGCCTATATACCCCGAGAGACGACACAGGCCAGGTAGCAGATCGAAAATGTAATTGTTAAATAAATATGCACGAAAAATTGAGAATATCAATTTCCATAATTTATTTCACATTTAATTTAAACAAAGAAAAATGTAATATTTTATCAAAATTTATATAAAATATTTAACTTGCTTAAATGAATTCTCAACATTATTTTATTTCCAATTAAAATTCAAATTGAATTTCACTTCAACTTTTGTTAAATAATAATTGTAAATTTATTTGTGAAAAACAATTGCTTCTATTACGATAACACCCTTAGAGCGGGGCGACTGATTAAATGAATGCATTCATTCATCGATCTATTCACTTGACTCATTCAGTTCGTGTTATATAGAAATTTGGGTTTTATTAATTAATTGTTTTGCTGTTGCTGTTGCTGTTGCTGTTGCAGCTGTTGTTGCTCTCCATTTGTGGCCTACATTTCATGTTGCAATTGCTCGCAAGCTGCTTCGCGTTTGCCAAAACTTCCACTTGAGCGAGCCACTTGCAGCTAGAGTGCAACACCAACAAGTGCAGCAGCAGCAACAACAACCAATGCATGTTAATTAAAGTCATTACGTTGAAGGATGCCTGAATGGGAGCAGGGCGCAGGAAGCCGGAAGCTGGCAGCTGTGGTGCCCTGGTGCTCTGGGGCGCTACCGGCAAGCGGCATGCCACAAATGAATTGGGCGTCTGGCAGCGTGGCCCGATCCCTGTTTTGGCCTGCATTTCGGCTGCCATTTCAATTGCCCCACCAAATTGGCCAATTTTCATATGCATGATGCGTTAGGGCTCAAGGCGAAAGCGAACAGTCGAATGTCGAACATCGAATGTCGAATGAATGAGTGAATGAGTGCACGACTGTATGAGTGAATGCCAATGAGTGTGTCGACTGAGTGGAGGAGCCATGAGCGACGCTTGCCATTGACATCAATGAATTTTTGACTATGGCAAGCTGAGCTCAGGGTGTATTCAACGTATGCAGCGTGTGGCACGTGTGCGGCAACAAAGCATCGCCCACATGCCGCTTGCCGCATGCCACATGCCACTCGACAATGGCGATGATGCCTTGCAGTTAGATTTTTGAACGTAGTCGTCATCTAATGATGTGCAACATGCACAAAATGTGCTAATGAGTTGACAAGAGTTGAGGGAGAAGGAGAGGAGTGGAAGGAGGGAGGAGGGAGGGGATAGAGGGAGAGAAGGGGAACTAATGATTTGTCACCTTATCTCGTTCAGCTCCAACCTGTTGCACTTGCTTCCACTTCAAAGCTTTGTTTACCTCTCGCTTAGATCTCAATTGGTTCTAGCTGACCATAATTGAATTGGCCAACTGCCAGCACGTATCCACAAGAACCCCGTAGCTGCTAGGTGGATATATAGCTATATATATAAGCTGTGGCCTTTTACTGATTCAGCAGCAGCTGCTGCTGCTATTGCTGGATGAAAAAGTTTAATAAAACAACTTCAAATCATAGAAATAGCCTTGGCTAAATTGCTTTGCCTAAACGCCCCCACACACTCACACAGACACATTCACACAGAGCGAGGGAGTCACGCCCAGTCAGTCGGTGGGGCGGGCGGTGTTTGGCAATCAGGCCAAGTCTGAATAAAAAATGACTACCTGTGCATGAGTCCAGCTGAGGTGAGTCTTGGCTAAAAAAATAGCAAAGAAAAAAGAAGCTAATCGATTCAAATAAATCGATAATTGATATATCGAAAATACCATTTACGTAATTCCAGCAAAAAGCTAAAAGAGCAAAACTAATTTGGCTTTGCTGCTATATATATATATATATATATATATATGTGTGTGTGTGAAAGCTCTCTGAATAACAATTTCATATTCTAGCCAATATTCGAGCTTCTTCTATAGCTTTCTTGAACTACTTTTAGTATATAATTGAGAATAATTGTAGAAACCATCATAGGCAAAGGCACTTACATAACTGCTAAATTGTCAGGGAAAATTAGCCGAGGTAAATATCATTTAGGCTAGGAAAAACGATGCTAAATGTTATAAAAACAAGCTAGATAAAAAAATGAACTTAAATAAAAATAATGAAAATAAAATGAAATAAATAAAAAATAAAATAAATAAGAGAGTGCGAGTAAAAGTTGCATAGGAAATATAAAATACATAATTTATATTATATAAATTAAAACTAATATATATATATATATATATATAATATAATATATATAATTAATATATATATAAATATTAATATAAAATCTATATAAAATAGAACTTAAAGAAACAAATAATTTAAAAAGGTTTCTGTTATTTAGACTTTAGTGTTAAATATTTCAAATATTTTCTTGAACCACGGAACCAGTTTAATTACATGACGAGTCTATAAATAGCACAGCTATGCTTAAGCCATGCATTGTCCATGCTTTATAGCTCATTATCAAACTGAGCTGGTTCTTGAGCTCGATTCATATCTGAAACACTTAAAGTTGAAACCAAGCAACAATCACTTTCCATGCCAAAGCCTAGGCTAAGCACATATACATAAATATGTATGTATATATATAAAGATATATTATTATATATATATATAACTGTATGCCTGTTTGGTCAATTGGCAATTGGTGTTTGCGAGGCGCTTAGCAAAAATCAATTTTGTGCAGGCAACTCAATTATGGATTGGAAATTGCATGGCCATACTAGCTGCATTTTCTCTTCTTCTGCTCTCTCTACATGTATATATATATATATATATATTGTTTTTTTATTATTTAAATTGGAAAAAATTCCATTTTATCATTTGTTGTTGGCCATTTCTGGCGCGTTATAGCATTTAGCTAGTTTTTAGTTTTGGCCTCCTTTTTATTATTAATCTTCGACATGGCCAAACTCAATCAGCCAAATCAAAATGTTGCCTGCAAATAAACGCCAATAGTTGACGTTGTTTTTGTTGTTGTTGTGGCAGGCGACCATAGACGACCGCAAACAACTCGTTAAAATTTGCATGTGAAATGCAATCGTCTAAAACTGAAAAAGGCAAAACAGAAAAAAAGGCTATAAAATAGTGCCAAAATAAAGCCAACAAGAAGCGAGTCGAAGCGAGTAGATGAAACAAATAAGCGCGCACACGCAGTCAGACACACAATACGTTGAGAGTGTTGCACGGAATGGTCACTGGAGTAGGGGCAGGTGCAGGTTCAGGTGCAGCTGCAGAGGCAGAGGCAGGAGCTGGGACCGGCAGGAACAGGAACAGACGCAGAAGCAGTCAGGCGCAGAGTGAGCAGCAGCAGCAGCAGCAGCCTATAGGTGTAGGTGTAGGTGTAGGTGCAGGTGTAGGTGGTCATCGCCAACATAGCAGAGCAATAACAAAAGCAACTAAACAACATTTTTGGCCATGGCACACGGCTATCAATTTGATATATCAATCAGCGTGGGATAAAAATGATTGCCAGTTGCCCGATGTCCGACAGACATGCCGCCCTCACCCTCAATTCCCGATTGTTGTTGTTTGTAGTTCGTTATTGCTGTGCACTGAAATCGAAATGCCTCAAAAAAAAAAGGGGTGGGGGAACAACAACAAATCTATCACGACGAATACTAAATGCTCTAGAAGGAGTGAAGAACTTACAGTCATAGCAAATAGTCTGCGTATAGCTAAACAACTAGCAAGACTATGATCGGCAAGAGGAAGAGATCTGAGCAGGCAGAGACCAGACCTGCCTGACCTGTTGACTCGTTTGTCAACCGAAGTCAGCTTCAATTGCATAACTGAGTAATCATGACCTAGGTGAGGGCAGCATAAGAACAACAACAGCTCAAACAATAACAAGAAATTTGTGGCGAACGTGCAACGTTCAGTTGCATAAAAAAGATTTGTATGTTGCCAGCCGGAATTGCAACGCATTTCAATTGGCTCGACGGCATTTGCAGCTTGGCCTTGAGGCAGGCACTGTGCCGGCTGCCTCAAGGATTAGCCGGGCACTGGACGGCTGCGAGTGGCTCATAAAGGCGATCTGCGCTCAGTGCTCTCTTGATTGATTTATGGCTACTGGCTCGTAAAAGTGGGTGGGCCAGCGGGCAGAAGGATTAACAGCGGGTGGGCGCGCGGCCAAAAACGAAGATAGAGCGGATCTCAGTTTCGGCTTTGCTATCAGTCACACACGCACGAGAAGAAGAAGCAGAAGCATGAAATGAATTGTGGTGCGGCGAAAGCGTGACAAGGGCAATAGCGACTAGCAGATGCCCTGCAGAAAGTTGAACGCTTGCTATGGAAGAAGAGAAGAGGAAGCTGACTCATGAAATGAAACGACTCGCAGATGCTCTGTGGTACGTTAAAGGCTTAGGCAGCTTCTCTGCCTTGTATTATGCAGGCATCTCTATAGCGATCAGTCAATCAAAGGGTATATGCAGAAGTCAATATAATGTTATCGACAGCTATACAAAATTCTCTTTCGGTTAATCGATAACCACTAGACTGTTATCGATATGCAATCTATTTCAATACGTATTCTAGATTATCCAGTGTATATACCCCATGGCAATTGCCGTTGGAAGGGTATGAAATAACTCTGCCTGCGCTTGCCGCCTGTTAATAGCTTTAATGCTGTTTTATGGCATTCGTCGAGTGGACGGCTGTGGAACTGGGAGCTGGTAGATGGGCGATGGGAACTGCTAACTGGCAACTGGGAACTGGGAAATGGCATGCCAACGCCAAATGTTTTACATGCGTGTTGTTGTTCCTATTGTTGTTGTTGTTGTTGTTGTTGCGGCGGCAACAATGTTTTGTTTGGCGGTCGCATAAATAAATTGGGATTGGAGTTTTCGCTGGCTCAGTGCCTGCTGCTTCGGTGCCGGAGCAAAGCTCATAATTCCAGCTTTTATTTGTGGGATTTTGGCATGGCATGGCATGTCAGTCATGTGTCGTTCTGTTTCTGTTTCTTGTTCTTGTTCTGGTTCTGGCTGTGTTTTGGGCTCCGGCTATGATGCCCCATCCATTCATCCGCCCGCCCGCATGCGCATTCGTAACGCTTTCAATTCCAACGCTGATTAATGGCTTTGTTTTCTCTCTTTCTCTGTCTCCCCCTTCTGTTCTAGACGATGTGCGCTTGAGTGGACTACTCTTTCGCTCTTCAGCCGATAACGATAGCGATAACGATAACCGAGAACGTCAACGTATAATTGTCGTTGTTCAGCGAAAAAAAAACGACAGCAGCAACATGTATCCAGGCAGCGCCAGCAGCACCGCCGCCGCAGCCGCCGCAGCGTCCAAATTTCAAAATCGATGCGCCTCGCCACAATTCGCCAGCTTTGCACCGCCGCCGCCGGCTGAATATCCGCCGCCCACACTGCAGCAGCAACAGCAACAGCAGCAGCAGCAGCAGCAGGCACATCAGCAACAATTGCATTCGCAGACCACTGCAGTGGCTGTGCACAGTGCACCAGGACATGGCTCCATGCGCCACATTCAGCGCAATCAGCTAACTATGAGTGGCCACGGCCATGGCCATGGCATGGCGCACGGCCATGGACATGGACACGGCCATGGCCACGGTCTGGGCATGGGCATGGGTGGCATTGGACATGGAGCCGCCACGCTGGGCCATCACCATGGTCATCGCGGCGATCTAATCTTTCCGGACGATATGGACAGCATTGAGTTCTGCATGCCAGCGCCGCCCTCTTCCTCCTCATCGTCGTCGCAGCAAAACGGCGAGCTGCTGCTGCTCCAAGGCGGCCATGGCGAGCCCTTCACGGAGCGACGACGGCGCGGACACAGTCGTCGCAGCAACCACAAAATGGATGTCGAGCAGCAGGTGAGTTAACACAACAAAAGCTTAGTCAAGAAAAGTAGATAAGGCGCCCATCACAGAACTGTGGCAGTTATAGATATCTTTCTTCTATCTGACACGTATAAATATAGATTAATTCAAGTCTAAACGGATAGATAGAATTCATTTATGTATAGGTTAGTGAGATAAAAATAAATAGAAGAAGAATAAATAGATTTGACGGCGAGATAGATATACTAGACTTAAATTTAAAAATATAAAACTATAAAATATAAAGATAATTGATATTTACTTAACTAAGAGGAGACAAATACTAAAAAAAGAAACATTTTCTAATATGTTAATGCAAATTTATATCTAGATTGGAATTTAATAAGTGTACAAAAATATATAAATTGTATATATTATTAATAACACATATATAAATAATAAAAGATTGAGACAATATTTAAAAAAAAATATATTTATGCGCATAATAAAATATAAAATATATAAATAAAATAACAAATATTTTAAAGTATATAAAAAATATATTATTAACTATAAAAAGTATTAAAAACAATAAGTAATCGAAATATATAAAAAAAAAAAACATTTGAATTAAATACAAAAATTATAAAATATATAAAAAAAATTAAAATATATATGTATATCAATATATCAAAATTATAAAAAATAAATAAAATATTTAAAAAATTATTAAAAATTATAAAAAGATGAGATAAATCATAACTAATTATAAAACAATACCCAATAAATATGCAGTATACAATTTCTTGGGTTTTCGTAATTTTTATATTATATTTATATTATATTTTTTCATTATTAAATATTTTTGTTATTTATTTTTTTTATTTATTTATTAATATTTTCTTAAATTTGTTTATATTATTTTAATTATTATATATAATATTCCTTTAAACAACTTGATGTGTCGATTTGCAATCAAATACTTTCAGACATAGCTCACTAAATAGCAGAGCTACAGATACCACATTTGGTAGGTGGTTCCATTAGAGATCACAGATGCCACGCACTTTGAAACAACTCGAAAAAAGTGTATTCGCATCATTAAATACACGTTGTTTGGAGTTGAAGCTTTCGTAAGAAACTTGAACGATATTTAATCTGGTGCTCTGCTTGTTCACAGGTCAAGTGGTCACGCAAGAACATTGCTGCCACAATGGAGCGCTTTGAGCCCACCGCCACCGCACAGTCGTCGTCGTCTACTTCGTCGCTGGACTATGGCTTTGCCGCTGGCGTCATGACGCCCAGCAGCAGCAGTGCCACGCCCTCGCATGGGGCTGGCTCAGCGGCTGGCATGTCATCCACTGCCTCGCTGCATGTGGCCTACAATGGGGGAGGTGGTGGTGCTGGTGCAGGCGGCGTGGGTGGCGCAAGTGGTGGCGCCATGGGCGCCAGCGGCTCGGCAGGAGCAGCAGCTGCTGCCCCCTTCAATCACGTCTACTCCTATGCATACTACGAGCCCGGCGCAGCCAAGTGCCATACGAATGTGCCCGCTCAGGGTCAGGGCAATGGACATCATCATGCACAGTCGAAGAGCCCGCCGCGCAACTCGATACGCGCTCTGCTGGCCAAGAGCTTCCGCTCGAAGTCATCGTCGCACAGCGGCCAGTCCACATCGTCGTCGCCCAGCGCCGAGGAGCGGGACAGGCACACGTACACCACACGCTACGGCACCACCGAGAATCTGTACGAGGAGGTCAGCGATCAGAAGATACGCAAGGTGCTCTCCGACAATCGCATTGCCACGTCCAGTGCGGGCAATGTCAAGGAGGAGCTGCGTCGCGTCCAGCACAATCATTTCCGTGTGCTCGACGAGCTCAATCTGTCGTTGGAGGCGCTCATTATGCCGCCCACGCCACCAGACATCAGTCCCAGCCATGGCGGCCCGGCCAGCGCCAGCTCCAATGATGCACAGCACGAGGCGCCAGCCACCAGCACCAGTTGCAGCAGTGGCAGTGGCAGCGGCAGCGGCAGTGCCAGTGGTGCCGTTGGCAATTCCTCCTCCTCGTCCTCCTCCGTGCAAGGCAAGAATGTGCTAAGCACGGGCCAGCGACCGCGTCGGGGCGGCTTGCTCGGTGGTGCTGCTGCCAGCGCCGCGTCCAACTCAAGCTCGGCCTCGCACGCCAGCCTCGAGAATTTGTCGAGCACGTTGAACAGCATGGAACTGAAGGATCATGCACACAGCAGCTGCATCAATCCGGAGTTCGATGAGGGCGACCTCGATAGCGGCTTCAGTGGCAGCGGCAGCAGCAGCGGCGCCAGCTACAATGAAAGTTTGCGCTACTATAAGACGGCCACGCCCACTAGCCATAGCCATAGTCACAGTCATAGCCACAGCCACAGCCATGGGCATGCCAACCACAATCCCAATATGATGCACCACAGCAGCAACAGCAACAGCAACAACATCAACAATAACAACATCAGCAGCAGCAGCAGCAGCAACAGCAACAACCACATGCACACCAGCACACTGCCGCACAATTTGCGCAGCTGCCGCTCCTCGACTGCGTCGGGCACCTCGACATCGAAGAGCAGCATGGCCAGCTGTGGCGAGGATCAGGGCATCGCCGGCATGGGCATGCCAATGGGCATGGGCATGAACATGGGCATGGGCATGCCAATGAACATGGGCATGGGCATGAATACTAACATGGGCATGCCCATGGGCATGGGCATGGGCGCGGGCATGGGCGTGGCTGAAACGGCAGGCGGCAGCTCGATGTCGCCATTCAATTATCCAAGACGTTGCTCAGCAGATCAGCAGCGGGCATCGGGACGTTCGATTGCATCCGCCACGGGCTCAGCAACGGGCGCCGCCATCTCCGTGGCCACCGGCGCGAAACCCAAAAAGAACTTCTGGACCATGAAACCGTGATGCTACAAAAAGGCCCTGCGACACATATGCAAGAAATGGAGCATTGTTATGGTGAGTACAAGTCAAAGAGAATGATTTAAATAAGATTGAACTGGAGACTGCTGCAACTCTAAGTGGAAATAAATTGGTTAAAGATATTGAAATGAATTGAGGAATATATATATTTATTTATAATCTATATATATATATTGTAATATGTAATATCGATAAGCAAGTTGATGGGACTGAGAACAGATGAAGCTTGAAACTTCGAGATGAGATCGAAGCTCTTCAATGATGCTATAGAGTCCGACTTTTGTTATATATTTTCTAAAGCATTTTCGTATAGTTGATCTATAAATCACATAAAATAGTTCGGCATGGAAGTTAGCTTAACTCTTATAACTCGAAGCAGCCATAAAAGTAATCAAAGTTCATTAGCAAAAGTTTATTAAGTCTATACTCTTTAGTAGTAAAGAGTTTAATTGGCACTTATTTAAATAAATAGAAAAGAAAACCTTTTAAAGTTTACAAGATCTTCAGTCCAAGCCTTTTCGCTTGTGGCACCTGCCAAACGTGCCAGCTGTGGCATGCACATACATCTCGCTTAAAGCATCGTTTGTGACTTTGCTTAAATGTTAATCTCATCGTCAGCATCAGCGTCATGGTTATCGTTATCGTTATCGTTATTATTATTATAACTACTGGTGTCCCAATTGTGTTTATTTTTTGTGCTCGCTTCAGCTCAGCCTTGTTGTCTCTAACTGTTGCAGCATCAATTTCAACTTTTCAACTTTAATCATAATAAATTTGCGGCTTGGCCCAGACCCAGGGCTCCATTTCAAATCAACGAGGCATTTCCGCTACCGATGCTGCTGCTGCAGTCGCAGTCGCCGTCGACGTCGACGTCGCACTCGGATATTCCCAAGATAATAAATTTATTAACAGGCAGCAACAGAAAACATCATCATTATCTGTGGCGGGCAGCAAGCAGCGGGCAGCGGGCAGCGCCCTCGCCCTCGCCCTGTTCGCCCCCTTTCAATGGCCACGAAATGAATCAATTAAAACTGATTGAACTTCATAGATTTGATTCCCTCCACTTCTTCGTCTTCTTCTACACTTTTTTTTATACTCATCTGTGCAACTGAAACTGGGGTAATGCCGGATTCGGACTCGCATCATCCGCCCAGGCTATGTGGGAACTGCTTTGCACCCAGACACACACACACAGACATATGCCCCCATTTTCTAGGTCTGCCACAGGGATTATGTATAAGTGCCATGTTTGTGTGTGTGTGTGTGTGTGTGTGAGGCCATTAAGGCGCCTGTTGAAATCGAAATCCCAATATCAGCATTAAAAGTCTTACAGCCTAAGATGCAATCCGCATTGAGCGTCTGTCTCCAGCCAATGTGCTTAACTATCGATTTCTCGCTGCCCAAATCCGTTCGCTCACCCCTGTGAACGATTGTGAATGATGCTGTTATTCATTGCATTTTGTTATAAATCTGTCAATTTGCACAATTGTGCGTGCGCTTTGTGCATTCGACGAGGCAGGGAACGGGGCCGGGGCCGGGGCCAGGGGTCGCGATATATAGTTTTGGGGTGAATCAGCCAGCGATGCGATGCGATGCGATTCGACGCGAGACACTGAGACACTCTCTGCAGAAATGTTTTTCGGCATTTCACATCCGCAAGGGCGCACGTTTTCGGGCACCATAAAAAATCTGTTGCAAGATGCGTGTTGCTGTTGCTGCTGCTGCTGCTGCTGCGGCTGTTGCTGTCGTGCGTGAGTTGATTTATGGTCGCAATTGTGCTGAGCCGCAACTAATTTGCCTCGAGTGTTAAGTAGCGTGCGAGCAGTAGTGGGTGCCTTGGCTGAACTAAGTTGTATTTGCTAATAGTTCACATAGTTGTCGACTCATCAGATTCCATAAATATTGCAGAGCGTGAATCAATTTATATTACGCCGTCAATGCAATGGTGGCTGAGGTGTGTGCTTCGGTTATATCAACAGAATCAGATTACTTCATCAAGCACATGTGTGTTCATAGCACGTAATACTAAACGAGTCATCAGCCACAAGTGCTGTGTGTGGCTAAGAGGAATTGTAATTGCATTTGGATTGCGCTCACTCATCGATACTCGCTCAGTGTGCATCAAATAGTCTTCAGCTCATTCGTGTGCTTCTAATTGAATATGCAATATGAAATGCAGCCAGCGCACACACTTGCAGTCATGCATTATGCATTTGGCTGCAATCTGAGTCCGTGCACACACACACACGCACACACACACAATGATCTCTCATATTCAAGTGCAAGTGCTGCCCGAGGAGCTGGCAAACTTACTTCAGCCTAGCCAAAAACTTGATCTGAAAACGATTTGTGTACAGTCGATTTGACAGCAGTTATCGTGTGTTTTCATCACCCTGCCTCTCGCTCTAACTGTCTCGCTTTAAGCTTTTCCGGTGCTTGGCAACCCTTGGCGACTAAAGAAAAAAAAGCCAAGCGGCGCGGCACACTTGAAAATCGTTTAAATGTTGCCAAATCGCTCGTAACCAGCAACATCAACAAAACAGGCTAATAAAGCAAGCCAACAGCAGTGAAGGACGAGCAGACGAGTAGCGCTGGCAGGAGGAGCAGCCAAAAGGGCAACCCAAATAAAATCAGAGCCACATCAAATGCCAAACGTCTGTTCGCAAATATGAAAATGGATTTCAAATGGATTCCGAGCAGGTCTCCGCTGGAGCCATAGTCAGTCCCTCATGCAGTCCTGGCTGGACAATGGCGGTCAGCGGCGATGGCCAAGAAGGAAGGGGCGCAGGGCCACATATGCAGGCAAATCGGACGCAAACATTCACTTAGCCATAATAAAAGAAATGAGCAAACGCAAAGCGGCCAACAACAGCAGCGGCAACGGCAACGGCAACAACAAACCCAATTCAATTGCAATGCGAAGCAGAAGCAGAAGAAAAATAAGTAGAAAAAGTAGAGCAACAAACAGCGAAATTGTTGAAATTTGTCAATTTGTTGTTGTCGCATTTTAGCTGCTTGCCACATGCTTTTATTTGCAACTCTCAAATACCCTTGCCCCTGGCCAAAGCCGAACTCAGCTTAAGCTTAAGACTGAGCTGCTTTAGCTACTGCGAGAGCTTTGTGCTCGGCAACGTTAGCTCTATCAGATGACGACTAGTTACGGTTAGGGTATCTTAGTAGTCGATCAAGTTGGAGAGGAGTGTTGTACGAGCTCTCAGCTCCGCTTTTGCCTTTTGTTGTGCTGTTGGCCAAACTCAACGCACAGTTGCCAGTTTCGATAAGCAGTTGGCTCTAGAGTCTTGTCTGCCTGGTGAGATTTAGCCATGCTGATTAAAATTGAATGATGGCAGAAGGACAGGGACAGAGACAGGGCGAGGGACAGTGACAGCGACCGGGACAGCGACAGCGACAGCGACAGCGAGTGACATAGAAATTGCCATGTGCCCAGCTAAAAATCCAGATCCACAAAAACTGTAGCAAAGGGCGGGCGGCCAGAGCAGGCATGCGATTGGTATTGGTATTGGTATTGGTCTTGGTCTTGGTCTTGGTTTAGTTTTGGCTTGGGCAATGGCCGTCATGGCCTTCAACAATTACACGCACACATAGATAGAGAGAGGGAAAATAGCATAGAAAAAAGAAACCTTAACCCACTGATGGCGCCCAAAACGAAGCCGGAGACATAACATAATAAATTTGCAGACAAGGCACGGCTACGCTCCCGTTACAGTGGTTCAAACACCACTAAAAAACTGTTCAAATTGCAAAGAAATTATTTATAAGTAAAGCAAAGATAATGCAAGATTTACTTTATATATATATTTATTTACTCATATAAATATATTTACATTTATTTTATTTTTTAAATAAATATTGTTTCAATTAAATATTTATGTAAATATTTTTTTAAAGATCTCATAAATTTCGCTTGAGTTTGTAACAAGTTTTTTTGGCCGCTTTGGCAGCAGTGTGCGCTGGCAGGGCGCCAACAGCCGAGACGGAATGGTAGCTCGCCTCACCAAGGACGCGCAGGCAGGGGCCAAGGCGGACAATGGCAGGCATAGAGCAATAACGCGAGGGTGGCTCAACGGTGGCTCAGCTCAGTTTGGTGGTTGCTGCCGCTGTCGACGCCACCGTCGTTGCTGCTGCTGCTGTTGTTGGCGTGACATTGTCAGCCTTGGACTGAAACTGCGACTGTTCCTGGGGGTTGTCTGCAAATCACCCACCATTTGCGCCCATTCCGCTTGCTGTTGTTGTTGTTGTGGTTTTTTTGAAACTGCGTCGTCTGCGGGCGCAAGAAAAACTGTAGTAAATAATTCTTTAAAGATTTAGAGACACTTGGCGAACAGATGCGTTGCCAGCAATTGCAAATTTTTATGAGATATACACCGAAGCGAACGGAACGGGCGGAGTGGGCAACTGGAGGAGCGGGCGCTGCCTGCTGCCTGCTGAATGCTGGCTGCTGGCTGCGACGCGTGCTTGGCGCTGCTTTTTAGCTATTTCTGTTGAGCGAACGAACGAGCGTCGCCATAAGCGGGCCACATATCAAGATTAATTTTTTCCAAGATAATAAATTCAATGCAGATTAAATGGCAGACCATTAAATTATCGGCAGCAAAGTCGACTTGAGAGGATGTCACTAGGGGAGTATCTGGAATGTGTATATGTGTCTGTGTGCGTGTGTGTGTGTGTGTGTGTGGGTGCCTGTTCGACTGGCAGCGTATTTTGATAGTGCAATGTAATTATGTCTAAGCTGCGGCGCGACGTTCACAAGTAAATCGCATATGAAAATCAGTTAAGAAACTCATAAATTAAATGGCCAAAAGATAAAGTAGATAAGCAGTTAAGAGATAGGCGAGATAAGAGCAGCGACTCGCTGCAGTAGGCACATGCAAAATTTGCCACTTTTACTGAGATTTAGGTGAGCTTAGGAGGAGCTTGAGGATGTGAAGAGCTGCGAAAGCAATGTCAGAATCTTAGCCAAAACAACTTAATCTAAACTATCTTAGGACTATCACAGATAGATTTCAAGCCACTCG